TTTATACAGTATCTTTTTTTGTTCACTTTGGAAATTTTTACTAAAAATTGCAAAAAATAAAGTATTGTGCAAAGATGTAAGGTTTTTTGAAACTTGAAATGCATTAATAAATAGACTTGATTAAATCAACTTGAGGGTTCTCTACTCTTTGAACTCTGAGAACTATCACAAGAGGCTTCCCACCAGGCAGCGATTTTTTACTAAATGAAAGAGATTATTAAACAGAAAGAAAGTTGTCTCTTCCTACAGAAGTATAGATTATCTTTATTCCTATTAATACTTTGGAGTCCATGTAGAAAATTTCCAGTTAGATACTCTGTGTACACACAATAAACCTTTTTAAAACACCCATCTAATGCATTACATTGTTTCTAATCAATATTCATTGCTTGTTTTGGTGGAAGACCTGAGTCATTTTGAAAACTTATGGTCTTGTTTATATGTGTTTTTCAAAGTTTTGAATGCTAAGTACCTCATTTCTTTTAAAAAGCTTAGTTTAATGATAAGTCTATTTAAAATTTTGAGCCAACATTTTCCTGTTCATAGCAAATATAGAGAGAATTGACATTTCAGTGTTATCTAGAAAAGGAATTGTAAGCCCAGAATAGTTCCCTGCATGGGGTAATCTGCTTCAAATTCTTTTTTTAGTCAAGGTCAGCTATAAGTAATGCTTATTAAATGAGTAAATATATAATACTTTGAGAGTTACTTTGTTGATTTAGGACCATCAAATGTATATTATATTTAGTTATTTATGAAACTGTCAATATTAATTTGGGTAATTATAGTTATTTTTACTTGTAATTGACTGCTTAAATTCTGTTGACAGTCCCTTCCTCCTTCCTTCCCTCCTTGCCTCTCTTCCTCCCCTCTCCCTCCCCAGTTTTATAAATTCAGGCACCGATTCACAAACAAAATCAGAAATAAAATAAATGTATTAACTGCTTCTGAATTTAGCATTCCCTATAGTGTCAGGCAATGTCATGCAGTTTGGGGAAGCATTTATTTAAGGAAATGACAACTGATCAGTCTCTTTTTGTGAAATGTTTTCAGCACTGTGCTTTGGGTGCTTCGTTTTTGTCACAGTCACCTACTAGTGAAAACTGATTTGTCCAAGCTGAGCAAACTACTTGACCCTAAGTCCTTGTCTTTGTCCCTGTAGTAAGACCTCATTATTACTATTTCTACAAAGTAATAGTAAAAGGATTGGTGTCCTTGGCATCTATGAAATTTTGGGGGCTTGTGCATGAGAAGGCCTTTCTTATTGAAGGTATCAGTGTCAAGCATTATAAACCTGGATAGTTCACTTTCAGGAGTGCAAGAAGAAATATTCATTATCCATATTTAAAGGGTCAAGGTCTCCCAAAACTAGGTGCGAGCCGGATGTACTTATAAAGCAGCTGCCAGGGCTGGTTCATCTTTAGAGAAGTCATTAAAGTTGTAAAAAATTTTACTTCCCCCAAAACCACGTTCAACTTCTTAGAAACTAGAGACGTGATTGGTTTGTCCCACAGAAGACAACTTCAGTTTCAGCATCTCTCATGTTACGTTCCTGATTAAAAATAATTTCCATTTGATACACTTTTCCCTTTATTACCAGTTTAGGTTTTTTTTTTTTTTTTTT